TATATATATATATGGGATGTCATCTCCAACGCTCGACTCTGCTAGGGTTTCAACCCATGTCGACCCTAAAAACCCTTACCGCAAAATCTTTTCTTCGGTGTCAAATTTGGCGTCGTCGTCCTCTCCGTAGTCGTCGTCTCTCCTCTCGCATCTCGTCGTCTCTGTTCGAAGCTGACTGCGGCCTCTCGTTGTCTCTATGACAGTTTCGTCGTTCTGTTCGACTACATATCACGGAAGACGGATGGGAAAGGGTCGCCTTGTTTCCTCCTTTCATCTTCCTAACCGACTCAGCTCGACTGCACCGAGTTTTGGTATCTTCGGTTCCTGACCTGCCCTCTGACCGACTTGACAGGGCTTCTAAGTTGTGATGGAGCTTCCTTCTTCTTCAGTTGAACCTGGCAAAGCCACCTGGGTAATCCTCAGGTGGAAATGGAGGTTGTTTTCCCTTTAAGTTATAAAGAGTATCGTGATAGTACAGGTGACTGCCCATTTATTAAGAATGGAAGCAGGAAAAATGAAAAAACAATACTTTTTTTTTCTCGAAGTTAGAAATTTCAACCCTGACTGACAAATTCAAGTTTGTTCTTATTGGAAAATTTCAAAGGAGGCACCCACCTATGGAAGTTATCAGGAAAAATTTTGATGATCTCAAATTAGCAGGAAAGTGGAAAGTGAGGCTCATAGATGAGAGACATGTAATGATTCAATTAACCGTGACTAAATACTACACTCGGATTTTCTCCAAAAAAAATCTCAGCATTGTTGGTAAATCAATGAAGATACTCAAGTGGTCTCTTGATTTTGACCCTAGTCATGAACCCCCTACTATACCGGTATGGTTCAGTCTACCAGGTCTCAAGCTGCACCACTTTTTTCATTTTTTTCATCATCAGATTTTTTACTCTATTGGGGTCATACTTGGGGATCCAATGAAGCTAGATCTACCGACTATCAACCTAACCAGACCTTCTGTGACCAGATTACTTGTGGAAAGAGATATTACTTTACCTGAAGTTACTGAAGTCTGGTTGGGCACAACTCATATTGGATATTGGCAACAAATCATCATGGAGCATAGACCGCCTTACTGTTCTCATTATAAGATGTTTGGGCATACACTTGATAAATGTCATAAGTTTCATCCTAATTTGAAATCTAAATATTAAGTGAATAAGGATGGATATAATCTCACTACTCTGGACATATATGTTCCATCTGGAGAGAAAGCTGTCACAAGACAGGTTTTGAATATCGCTAAAGATCAATCACCTACCATCCCTGCTGAGAAGGTGCAAACCGATCCTTTACCCAATATCGCGATTTCTGATGAAGAACACCATACTACAGATACAGATCCAAAAGTGTTTATATCACTTACTGTTATTGAAGAAGACTCACTTACATGCCAAAACACACGAGAGTGCTTCTTTGATTCAATCAAAGATCAACTGGTACAACAAACAGTTACTTCTAATGTTCAACATCCTACACATGTCTGGCACACTTTAGACCAATACACTGATCAGGCGAGTCAATCTTCGGATGAAGAATGGCAGATCTATTCCAGGAGGAAGAAGAAGGCTGGAGGCCGACTCGAGCTTGAAAACTTATTTGATGATACTTTGGTCACTACTGGCAATGGCACTTATCTTACCAATTTATTATCTGGCTCCTTTCCTAGAACTAGAGGTAGAGGCAAAGAAAAATTGGGTCGCTCTCTCTAGCTACCTGATACTACGTTTTTTTGACATTTTTTATTTTTTTATTTAGGTCTCTTGTATTTTTCGTATTTTCTCCTTTTTTGGAACCTTTTGCATGTAATGGTTATCATGGGGAATAGTGTCATGCTTGGGTCCTTCCACACAATCTTTATGTATCATTGTTTCCTTTTAATATATTAGTCTTTGGGCTTTCTCAAAAAAAAAACAATATATATATATATATATATATA